AGATATCTGCACTCCCATGTTTATTGCAGCACTGTTCACAATAGCCAAGATATGGAAGCAACCTAAGTGTCCATCAGTAGATAAATGGATAAAGAAAATGTGGTATTTATACACAGTGGAGTACTATTCAGCCATAAAAAAGAATGCATTCCTGTCATTTGCAACAACATGAATAGAACTGGAGGTCATTATGTTAAGTGAAATAAGCAAGACACAGAAAGATAAACATAGCATGTTCTCACTTATTTGTAGCATCTAACAAATCAAAACAACTGATCTCATGGACACAGAAAATAGAAAAATGGTTTCCAGAGGCTGGGAAGTGCCGCGAGACATTGGGGGCAGGTGGGGATGGTTACCAAAAACTAGTTAGAATGAATAAGACCTATTATTTGATAGTACAATGTGGTGACTGTAGTCAATAATAATTTTGTTGTACATTTTAAAACAAGTTTGTCTAACCCGTGGCCCATGGGTCTCATGCAGCCCAGGACAGCTTTGAATGCAACCCAATACAAATTAATCAACTTCCTGAGAAATTAGTTTTTTTGCGATTTTTTTCCAGCCCAACAGTTATCATTAGTATTAGTGTATTTTATGTGTGGCCCAAGACAATTCTTCCAATGTGGCCCAGGTAAGCCAAAAAATTGGACACCCCTGTTTTAAAATAACTAAAAGAGTAAAATTGGATTGTTTGTAACATAAAAGATAAATGCTTATGGGGAAAGAGACCACATTTTTCATGATGCAATTATTATGCACTGCATATCTATATCAAAACATCTCATGTACCCCATAAATATACACACCTATTATGTGTGCACAAAAATTAAAAATTAAAAACAAACAAAAACAAAATACATAAGGAACTCAAACAACTCAAAAACAAGAAAAAAAAAAAAAAGAATTTAAAGGTGGACCTGAATAGACATTTTTCAAAAGACATACAAATGGCCAACAAATATATTTTAAAAGGCTCAAGTTTCCTAATCACTAGGGAAATAAAAATTAAAACCACAATGAGACATCATCTCACACCTGTCAGAAGGGTATAATCAAAAAGATGAAAGATAACAAGTGTTGGCCAGAATGTGAAGAAAGGGGTTTATTTGTACACTATTGGGAAAGTAAATTAGTATACCCATTATGGAAAATGTAATGAAAGTTCCTCAACAAACTAAAAATAGAATACTACCATATGATCCAGCAATTCCACTTCTGGGTATTTACCCAAAAGATTTCAAATCAGTTTGGCAAAGAAATACCTGCTCCACCATGTTCATTGCAGCACTATTTACAATAGCCAAGATATGGAATCAACCTGAGTCCATCAACAGATGAATGGATAAATAAAGTGTGGTATATATACACAATGGAATATTATTCAGACTTTAAAAAGAAAGAAATTCTGTCATTTGCGACAATATAGATGGAACTGGAAAACAATATGCTAAGTAAAATAAGCCACGCACAGAAAGACAAATGCTGCATGTCCTAACATATATGGAACCTAAAACAGTCAAGTTCATAGAAGCAGATAATAGAATGGTGGATACAGAGGCCAGAAGTTGGAAGGAATGGGAAGATGATGGTCAAAGAGTACAAAATCTCAATTAGACAAAAAGGGTTTTTAAAAATATTTATTGCACAGCATGGTGATTGTAGTCAACAATAGTGTGCTGTACATTTCAACATTGCTAAGACAGTAAACTTCACATTTTCTCACTACAAAAAGTAGGTATTTGAGGCCAGGCATGGTGGCTCACACCTGTAATCCCAACACTTTGGGAGGTTGAAGAGGGTGGATGGCTTGAGCCCAGGAGTTCAAGATCAGCCTGGGCAACATGGTGAAATCCTGTCTCCAAAAAAAATACAAAAAATTAACCAGTTGTGGTGGCATGCACCTGTAGTCCCAGCTACCTGGGAGGCTAAGGTGGGAGAACCACCTGTGCCTGGGAGGTCAAGGCTGCAGTGAACTGTGACTGCACCACTGCACCCCAGCCTGGGTGATAGAGTGAGACTCTGTCTCAAAAACTAAAAAAAGTATTTGACGTGGTGGATATGTTAATTAGCTTGATTTAATTATCCTACATTGTATTCATAAATTCATTTTGTACCCCACAAATACATACAATTATAAATTGTCAACTTAGAATAAAAATGAAATAAATATATATACATCAGGAACTTGAAAGATAATCTATAAAATAAGAAGAAATTAAAAATTGAGGCCAAAGTATTAGAATATAGAGAAATAAAACTACATATACATAATTCAATTTAAAAGAAGGCAAAAATAGAGAAGTCTGAGCTATAAATAAATCAGCTCTTAAAAATAAATTATTTCATTTTCTCTACTTTATTTCAATACAAATTGAAGTAACAAATTGAAAAATAAAAGGAAAGAAGTCTACTGTAAATACATTTGAAAGCTAAAAATGTTAAATAAATGACCAATAAAACAGTCATTTTTAAAAAGGAAAACATGGGACATGGGAAAAACTATAAAATCTAAAAAGATTAATGGAAAAACATATTTATATTACCATATTCTAGGTGGGAAGACTCAAGATTTAAATATGGAAAACATTTTAAACATTGTGAAAGTAAAAATACTAGGTGGAAATACAGAAGAATACTTCTCTAAGAACATCTTTTTAAGGAAGATATGAAACACAGAAGCTATAAGGAAGAGAACGGACAGGTTTTCTGCATTTCTGGTGGCAAAAGACAGACCATAAACACTACGTAAAGTCCAAAGTAAGAAAAACAGATTTCCACCTTGAGCCAGAAAGCGGGCAGAAAAACATGGCGGTTAAGAGCAACGTTTCTCAAGTTAATCTGAGTTTGCTTCGTGCTTTGCCATTTACCGGCTGGCAAACTACTTAACTCCATGTCTCAGACTTCCTCTCTCTAACATGGGATCACCATATGAGCTCATGGGGCCATGGAGGATTAAATGAGTGACTACATACATAGCACATGGAACACTGGCTCTTTGTGAGTACTTAATACATAGTAGCTCTTATTAATCTATAAAGAACTTCTACTAATTAGAAAATAATAGATATCCCAGTACAGATGGTCGAAATACATGAACTGCCAGCTCACAGAAGAAACAGAAAATCTACCTTTTATGTATATATAGTAGCCTCACCATCAAAGAAGTTCAAACTAAATTGAGATATTATTTTCTTCTCAAATGAGCCAAAAAATTTTAAAGTAACAACATCTGGTGTTAGTGGGCATATAGGTAAATAAACTATCTCATATACATTCTTTACTTTTCTTTTTTTAGTATAAAATAGAGATGGGGTCTTACTATGTTGCCCAGGCCGGTCTTAAACTCCTGGGTTCAAGTGATCCTCCCTCTTCCACCTCCCAAAGTACTGAGATTGCAGGTATAAGCCACTGTACCTGGCCTCATATATACTCCTGATGAGGGTATAGTTACCATCTTTTAAATGACACGTTATCAGTTTCTATTACAATTTATCCTTTAACACTGAAGTTTCATTTGTAAAAACCGAGACCAAGGTTCTTGTTCTTCAGAATCATCACAGTAGCCATGGACTGGACTCTTCCATCTGAGGCACTGGCTTTGCCATCATTTTTCAGATGTAGCCTTATCCTGCCCAGAAAATCTCAATACCTCACCATGGGAAGGGATTTCCTACAACCAAAACCCTATTGCAGTTTTCACTTCTTTTTTTTTTTTTCCTTTTTGTTTGTATGGTGAATATTTTTACTTTATATAGTTCTATTCTTATTTTTACTACTTTTCATTGTTTATTTTTAAAAGCTTATCTTATTATAGCTTCTTTGTCCCAGGTTTGCATTATTTTCAATTACAAAAATAAACCATGATTATTTGAAAAAACAAATACTTGCACATTACAGAAATGCATAAAAGAAAAAAGCAAATGTCGCTCTGAATTTTCCCTTCCCCTCCTACCTCCACATCACTTCTCAAAGGGTAACTATTGTCAACAATTTGATATAGATCCTTCCAGACTTTTCCCTATGCTAATGTAAGCATGTATGTTTAAAATGTACACATACTGTTGTGCAACTTGCTTTATTCACTTAAAATTAGTAGGTATAAAGATAGCTATACTTTTTTTAAAGGCTTTATGGTTAAGAATCCTATTAATGGATATTAAGTTGCTTTAGCTTTGGTTGCTATTGTATCACTGTTGTAAGAAACACTTTTGTGTACACACACACACACACATACTTGAATGATCTAGACCTCATCCCATTCTAGAATTCTTTGGACCTGAATGATGACCTTATAGAGAGCAAAATACCAAGAATTCAGAAGCAGGCTATGTGAGCACTCAAAAGAAGGGAATTAGGGGGCATGGGCAATCCCAAACTCTGAAGTCAATTTTTCAAGAAAACAGGGAATGCTACTTTACATCAGCCTGAGATGCCATTAAGGGTAGTGCTATAGTTTGGATATTTAACTCTCTAAACCTTATGTTGAAATTGGATCCTCAGTGTTGCAGCTGGGGACTAGTAGGAGGTGTTTGGGTCATAGGGATGATCCCGCATGAATGGCATGGTGCTGTCTTTGTAGTAATGAGTGAGTTCTTACTCGACTAGTTCCCAGGAGAGCTGGTCATTATAAAGAGCCTGGCATCTCCCCTGACGTCTCTTTGCCTTCCTCCCTCACCGTGTGATCTCTGTACAGGCCAGCTCCCCTTCCCCTTCTCCATGATGGAAACAGCCTCAGGCCCTCACCAGAAGCATATGCTGGTGCCCTGTTTCTTGTACAGCCTGCATAACTGCGAGCCCAATAAACCTCTTTTCTTTATAAATTACCCAGCCTCAGGTATTCCTTTATAGCAACACAAACGGACTAAGATAAGTATAGATGGCATCAGGGTGGGTACCTGTGGCTCTGTCCTCCACACTGACCGTTCAGGGCCCTCAGCAGAACTCACTCTGTTCACCCTAGACATCCCTGGGCAATCCCACAGGGCCCAGAGCCTCACCGAAAGTGTTGAATTCTCCACACCACGTGAGGTCATCAGCAAGGTAGCCTAGCAGTGTGTCCTCCAGGGTGAACATGTCCCGCTGGACCTGTGTGAACTGATGGGCCAGATCTTTTATTCTGCTCCAAAGAAGAGTCTAAGGAAGAATAAATACAATCTATTACTGAGATCAACTTAGCATGACAAAACAAAATAAATCTATGGTTTTGTAAATGAAAAGAGAACAGAGCATATCAAAGTAAATCACCCATAGTATGAATAAGAATTGTTGTATGCATCAATGATTTCTGAGTGCACGAGAGTGTAGGGGAGAGAGAGAGAGTGTGGGTGTGTGTATGTGTGTGTGTGCGTGTGTTCTAGGTCATAATGTAAATGTTTATTTTTATTCTAGGTTGCAGTCAAAAAAGTCTGAAAGTCACTGATCAAAATCTTATAATCAACATGGGATCACATCTGGAGGTGGCATTAGAGAGTTACAATATTCCTAAGCTTATCTCCAAAAAAACTTTGTCTACATGCTGTTTTCAGGAAGATGTGCTCTTTGATTCTTAAAGAACTATATAACCCCTTCCAAATTCCCTAAATATTCCCTACCCCTACCAAAAAAAAAATACAATAGATTTTTTGTATTTAAGGGTTCCTCTTAAAGGTACAGAGAGTCAAAGTTCAGAATTATATTCTGTTTTATGAATCTATTTTTTTTTATTTTTATTTTTATAAGTTCCAGGGTACACATGCAGGAGGTGCAGGTTTGTTACATAGGTAAATATGTGCCATGGGTTTGTTGCACCTATTAACCCATCACCTAGGTATTAAGTCCAGTATGCATTAGTTATTTTTCCTAATGTTCTCACTCCCCTCACCCCAACCCCAACGAGCTGCAGTGTGTGTTTTTCCCCTCCCGGTGTCCATGTGTTCTCATTGTTCAGCTCCCACTTATAAGTGAGAACATGTGGTGCTTGCATGTTCCTGTGTTAGTTTGCTGAAGATATGGCTTCTGGCTCCATCCATGTCCCTACAAGGGACATGATTTTATTCCTTTTTATGGCTGCATAATATTCCATGGTGTATACGTACCACATTTTCTTTATCCAGCCTATCATTGATGGGCATTTGGGTTGATTCCACGTCTTTGCTATTGTGAATGGCATTGCAATGAACATATGTGTGCATGTATCTTTAGAACAGAATGATTTTTATTCCTTTGGGTATATACCCAGTAATGGGATTACTGGGTCAAATGGTATTTCTGGTTCTAGATCTTTGAGGAATTGCCACACTGTCTTCCACAATGGTTGAACTAATTTACATTCCCACCAACAATGTAAAAGCATTTTTATCTCTCCACAATCTCACCAGCATCTGTTGTTTCTTGACTTTTCAATAATGCCATTCTGACTGGCATGATATCGTGGTTTTGATTTGCATTTCTCTAATGACCAGTGATATTGAGCTTTTTTTCATATGTCGTTGACCACATGAATGTCTTCTTTTGAGTCTGTTCATGTCCTTTGCCTACTTTTTGATGGTGCTGTTTATTTTTTTCTTGTAAATTTGTTTAAGTTCTTTTTAAATTCTGGATGTTAGACTTTTGTCAGATGGATAGATTGCAAAACTCTTCTCCCATTCTGTAGGTTTTCTTTTCACTCTGATGATAGTTTATTTTGCTGTGCAGAAGCACTTCAGTTTAATTAGATCCCACTTGTCAATTTTTGCTTTTGTTACAATTGCATTCGGCAATTTCATAATGAAATCTTTGCCTGTGCCTATGTCCTGAATAGTATTGCATAGATTTTCTTCTAAGGTTTTTATAGTTTTGGGTTATACATTTAAGTCTCTAATTCATCTTAATTTTTTTATGAGTTGCAAGGAAGGGGTCCAGTCTCAATTGTCTGCATATGGCTAAATAGTTCTCAAGCACCAGTTATTAAATAGGGAATACTTTCCCCATTGCTTGCTTTCATCAGGTTTGTCAAAGATCAGCCAGCTGTATATGTGCAGTTTTATTTCTGAGATCTCTACTCTGTTCTATTGGTCTATGTGTTTATTTTCGTACCAGTACCATGCTATTTTGGTGTCTGTAGCCTTGTAGTACAGTTTGATGTTGGGTAGTATGATGCCTCCAGCTTTATTCTATTTGCTTAGGATCGTCTTGGCTATATGAGCTTTTTTTGGTTCCATATAAATTTGAAAATAGTTTCTTCTAATTCTGTGAAGAATGTCAATCATAGTTTAAAGGGAATAGCATTGAATCTATAAATTACTTCGGGCAGTATGGCCATTTTCACAATATTGATGCTTCCTATCCATGAGGATGGAATGTTTTTCCATTTTTTTGTGCCCTATCTGATTTCCTTGAGCAGTGGATTGCAGTTGTCCACGAAGAGGTCCTTCACTTCCCTTGTTAGCTGTATTCTTAGGTATTTTATTCCCTTTGTGAATGGGAGTTCATTCATGATTTGGCTCTCTGCCTGCGTGTTGTTGGTGTATAGGAATGCTTGTGATTTCTGCACATTGATTTTGTATCCTGAGACTTTGCTGAAGTTGCTTATCAGCTTAAGAAGCTCTGGGGCTGAAAACCGGCACAAGACAACGATGCCCTCTCTCACCACTCCTATTCAACATAGTATTGGATGTTCTGACTGGGGCAATCAGGCAAGAGAAAGAAATAAAGTCTATTCAAATAGGAAGAAAGGAAATAAAATTATCTTTGTTTGCAGATGACATGTTTTCTAGTTATAGGATCATGAGTTTGCCAGTATTTTATTGAGAATTTTTACATTGATGTTCTTCGGGATATTGGCCTGAAATTTTCTTTTCTTGTTTTATCTTTGCCAGGTTTTGGTATCAGGATGATGCTAGTCTCATAAAACGAGTTAGGGAGGGGTCCTGCCTTTTCAATTTTTTGGAATAGTTTCAGAAGAAAGGGTATTAGCTCCTCTTTGTAACTCTGGTAGAATTCAGGTGTAAATCTGTCTGGTCCTGAACTTTTTTTTTTCTGGTTGGTATTTATTACTGCCTCAACTGTAGAATTTGTTACTGGCCTATTCAGGGACTCAACTTCTTCCTGGTTCAGTCTTGGGAGGGTGTATGTATCCAGAAATCTATTCATTTCTTCTAGATTTTCTAGTTTGTTTGCATAGAGGTATTTATAGTATTATCTGATGGTTGTTCGTATTTCTGTGGGATCAGTGGTGATATCCCCTTTATCATTTTATTGTATCCATCTGATTCTTCTCTATTTTCTTTTTTATTAGTCTAGCTAGTCATCTATCCATTTTATTAATTTTTTTTCCAAAAAACCACCTCCTGCATTCATTTATTTTTTGAAGGGATTTTTGTGTCTCTATCTCCTTCAGTTCTGCTCTGAGCTTGGTTATTTCTTGTCTTCTGCTAGCTCTGGAATTTGTTTTCTCTTGGTTCTCTAGCTCTTTTAGTTGCGATGTTAGGATGTCGATTTGATATCTTCCTAGCTTTTTGATGGGGGCATTTAGTGCTATAAATTTCTCTCTTAACACTGCTTTTATTGCATCCCAGAGATTCTGATACATGGTCTTTTTCCTATTAATTTCAAAGAACTTGTTAATTTCTGGCTTAATTTTATTATTTACCCAGGAGTCATTCAGGAGCAGGTTGTTCAATTTCCATGTAATTGGTTTTCAGTGAGTTTCTTAATCTTGAGTTCTAATTTGATTGTGCTGTGGTCTGTGAGACTGTTATGATTTTAGTTCTTCTGCATTTGCTGAGAAGTAATTTACTTCCAATTGTGTGATCAATTTTAGAGTAGATGCCATGTGGCACCAAGAGCAATGTATATTCTGTTGCTTTGTCATGGAGAGTTTGGTAGATTATCTATCAGGTCCACTTGATCCTGAGCTGAGTTCAGGTCGTGAATATCTTTGTTAATTTTCTGTCTTGATGATCTGTCTAATATTGACAGTGGGGTGTTAAATTCTCCCACTATTATTGTGTGGGTATCTAAGTCTCTTTGTAGGTCTCTAAGAACTTGTTTTATGAATCTCAGTGTTCCTATATTGGGTGCATACATGTTTAAGATAGTTCTCTCTCCTTGTTGAATTCACCCCTTTATCATTATGTAATACCGTTCTTTTTCTTTTTTGATTTTTGTTGGTTTAAAGTCTGTTTTGTCATAAACTAGGATTGCAACCCCTGCTTTTTCCATTTTCCATTTGCTTTGTAAATATTCCTCCATCCCTTTATTTTGAGTCTATGTGTGTCTTTGCATGTGAGATAGGTCTCTTGTATACAGCACACCAATTGATCTTGACTATCCAGCTTGTCATTCTATGTCTTTTAATTGGGACATTTAGCCCACTTACACTTAAGGCTAATTTTGTTATGTGTGAATTTGATCCAGTTATCATGATGCTAGCTGGTTATTTTGAAGACTTGTTTATGTAGTTGCTTCATAGTGTCATTGGTCTCTGTACTTCAGTGTGTTTCTGTAGTGGCTGATAATGGTTTTTCCTTTCCATATTTAGTGCTTCCTTCAGGAGTTCTTGCAAGGCAGGACTGGTGATGATGAATTCCCTTACCTTTTGCTTGTCTGAAAAAGATTTTATTTCTCCTTCATTTATGAAGCTTAGTTTGGTTAGATATGAAATTCAAGGTTGGAAATTATTTTCTTTAAGAATGTTGAATTTTGGCCCCCAGTCTCTTCTGGTTTGTACGGTTTCTGCTGAGAGGTCTGCTGTTTGTCTAATGGGCTTCCCTATATAGGTGACCTGCAGAATCTGATGATTATGTGTCTTGGGGTTGATCTTCTCATGGCGTATCTTACTGGGGTCCTCTGGATTTCCTGAATTTGAATGTTGGCCTGTCTTGCTAGGTTGAAGAAGTTCTCCTGGATGATGTCCTGAAGTGTGTTTTCCAACTTGGTTCCATTCTTCCTGTCTCTTTCAGGTACCCCCAATCAGTCATAGGTTCTTTTTACATAATCCCATAGTTCTCAGAGGTTTTGTTCATTCCTTTTCATTCTTTTTTGTCTAATCTTGTCTGCGTGTCTTATTTCAGCAAGATAGTCTTCAAGCTCTGATATCCTTTCTTCCGTTTGGTCTATTCAGTTATTGATACTTGTGTTTGCATCGTGAAGTTCCCATGTTGTGGGAACTTTTTCAGCTCCATCGGGTCATTTATGTTCCTCTCTAAACTAGTTATTCTCTTTAACAGCTCCTGTGTTTTATCATGGTTCTTAGCTTCTTTGCAATGGGTATGAACATACACCTTTAGCTCAGTGAATTTCATTATTACGCATCTTCTGAAGTCTACTTCTGTCAATTCATCCATCTCAGCCTCAGCCCAGGTCTTTTTTTTAACATTGGGTAAATGTAGCTAGTATCTTTGGTTTTTTTATACTTTAAGTTCTGGGTTACATGTGCAGAATGTGCAGTTTTATTACATAGGTATACATATGTCATGGTGGTTTGCTGCACCCATCAACCCATCATCTACATTAGGTATTTCTCCCTAATGTTATCCCTCACCTAGTTCCCCTCTCCAACATGCCCTGTTGTGTGATGTTCCCCTCCCTGTATCCATGTGTTCTCATTGTTCAACTCCCACTTATGAGTGAGAACATGTGGTCTTTGGTTTTCTGATCTTGTGATAGTTTGCTGAGAATGATGGTTTCCAGCTTCATCCATGTCCCTGCAAAGGACATGAACTCATTCTTTTTTATGGGTCTCAGCCGAGTTCTATGCCCTTGTTGGAGATGTGTTAAAATCATCTGGAGGAGAAGAGGCACACTGGTTTTTTGAGTTTTCAGCATTTTTGTGCTGATTCTTTCTCATCTTCATGTATTTATCTACCTTTGATCTTTGAGGCTACTGACCCTTGGGTGGGTTTTTGTGGGGTCTTTTTCATTGATGTTGTCGCTTTCTGTTTTTCCTTTTAGCAGTCAGACCCTTTCTTCCATAGGGCTGCTGCAGTGTGCAGGGGTTCCACTCCAGACCCTATTCACCGGGGTTCCTCCCACACCTGAAAGTATCACCAGTGGAGGCTACAGAACAGCAAAGATGACAGCCTGCTCCTTCTTCTAAAAGCTTCATTCCAGAGGGGTACCAGCCTGATGCCAGCCAGAGCTCTCCTGTATGATATGTCTGTCAACCCCTGTTGGGCAGTCTCCCCCAGTCAGGAGACACAGGGGTCAGGGATTGACTTGAGGAGGCAATGTGTCCTTTAGCAGAGTTGGTGTGCTGTGCTAGGAGAATCCCTTTTGTCAGGATCAGCTGCTGTCTTCAGAGCCAGCAGGCAGAAATGATTAAATCCACTGAAGATGCGCCCACAGCCGCCCCTTCTGCCAGGTGCTCTGTCCCAGAGAGATGGAGGTTTTGTCTGCAAGCCCCTGACTGGGGTTGTTACCTTTCCTTCAGAGATGCCCTGCCCAGTGAGGAGGAATCTAGAGAAGCAGTCTGGCCACAGCCACGTTGCCACACCCAGTCCAGACTTCCCAGCCTCCTTAGCACTATCAGGGGAAAACCGCCTATTAAAGCCTCAGTAATGGTGGATGCTGCTCCCCCACCCAGCTCCATCATCCCAGGTCAACTTCAGACTGCTGTGCTGGCAGCAAGAATTTCAAGCCAGTGGTTCTTAGCTTGCTGAGCTCTGTAGGAGTGAGACCTGCTGAGCGAGACCACTTGGATCCCTGGCTTCAGCCCCCATTCCAGGGGAGTAAACAGTGCTGTCCCACTGGGGTTCCAAGCACCACTGGGGCACGAAAAACACTCCTGCACCTAGCTTGGTGTCTGCCCAAACAGCAGCTCAGTTTTGTGCTTGAAATCCAGGGCCCTGGTGGTGTAGACACATGAGGAAACCTCCTGATCTCAGATGGAAATGCAGAAATCACCCACCTTCTGCATCAGTCTCACTGGGAGCTGCAGACTGGAGCTGTTCCTATTCAGCCATCTTGGCTCCTCCCCCTATTCATTCTAAATGGGAGTCAGTGAAGGATACTGGTTTAAAGCATGGGACCGAAAACCCCAGTCCTCATTGAAGCCCAGCATCATCATCACTTATCACATGTTTCACCTTGAGCAACCAAAACATCACTAAGCCCCACTTTCTACACCTGTAAAATGGTAACGATAATGACTGAAATAAACTAATGGGGTGCTAGGGAAATTAACTGAGATAAATGCAAGTAAATTGCTTAGCATACTATCCATCGCATAGTCACTTATTTGACAAATGTCAGCCTGGGTTATTATTTGCCAAACATCTTTTCTGCATAGGGCATCATGCCTCGTGAATGGAGAAGTTTCACAATGACTCCAGCTCACTAACAATGGAATGAGAGGCTGAAATTTCTGGGTGGTTTTAAGGGCTTCACAAAGAAAATTTTAGGCATGCGGAATTTTGCCTTAAACATCGACTATAGAAAAGGTGCACTCTGATAGACCTTTTCCAATATAACCAATGTATTAGAATCCAGGCCTCTGTGGCTCCAAGTCTCATACTACTTACATTTAAACTGGTCACTTTCAAGCCTGCCAAACTTGGGCAACACTGGTCAGCTAAACACACCAAGCCTCAGTTTTCTCACTGGTAAAATGGGGATGCTGACACCTGACCTGCCCATTCCACAGAATGGCTATGAAGGCCTAAGAAGATAAGGATTAGGAGAGTCTTTTGTAAGCAAGAAAAAGAAAAAAAGCACTCTGCAAGTGTAATTTGGCATTGTTATTATTACTACTACTACTATCATTAAGTCAGGGGAAAGTTTTGTTATTATATAGGTTGTGTTAATTTGTTTGTTTGAGTTGGGTTTGGTGTTAGGTTTTTTCTGCCTAGTTTTTGGCCAAAGCCCCTTTCCTATTTCTGTATCCCCATTTATCTTATCCCCATTTATCTCTTATCTCCCTTCTCCAGAAGTACTAAATCTTGATTATATCATGGCCCCTCAATGGCCTGCAAATTCCATTCCTACCAACCACACTCACACTATAATGTATGGATTTTTCCTCTTCCTTCATTCTAATCAAAATTTGGACCCATGAATTTTTACCACTGGCTTTTATCCCCAGTTTTAAAATCAATGGCATACCCCCAATTACCTTGTTGCAAGGTACGGTCTGAGTTCCCAACTTCACTAGTGGCTGATAGTCTTCTTCTGTAATGTTGCAAGGATATTTTGAAATAAATGCACCCTTGAATGCATCCCATACACTTTGGCAGTCTACATGTCTGTGAGATAAAACACAGAAAATAAAACATAAATTATTCTATTTAAAAAATATTTTTGGAGCATAATTATTTTTTAGAATCTCATTTAGGAAGCATCTATCATATGCCAGGTAGTCCATACCTATCATCTCATCTCACATGTGGTCTACCAGGGGTACAAAGAGAAGCTGATACCATTCCTTCTGACACTATTCCAAATAATAGAAAAACAGGGACTCCTCCATAAGTCATTTTATGAGGCCAGTATCATCCTGATACTGAAACCTGGCAGAGACACAACAAAAAAGAAAATTTCAGTCCAATATCCCTGATGAACATCAATGCAAAAATCCTCACTAAAATACTGACAAACTGAATCCAGCAGCACATCAAAAAGCTTATCTACCATGATCAAGTAGGCTTCATCTCTGGTATGCAAGTCTGGTTCAACATACACAAATCAATAAACATAATCCATCACATAAACAGAACCAATGACAAAAACCACATGATTATCTCAATAGATGCAGAAAAGTCCTTCAATAAAATTCAACATCCCTTCAGGCTAAAAACTCTCCATAAACTAGGTATCGATGGAACATATCTCAAAATAATAAGAGCTATTTCTGACAAACCCATAGCCCATATCATACTAAATGGGCAAAAGTTGGAAGCATTCCCATCGAAAAGTGGTGTAAGACAAGGATGCCCTCTCTCACCACTCCTATTCAACATAATATTGAAGTTCTGGCCAGAGCAATCAGACAAAATAAATAAATAAAGGGTACTCATATAGGAAGAGAGAAAGTCAAATTGTCTCTGTTAGGAAACCCCATCATCTCAGTACAAAACCTCCTTAAGCTGAGAAGCAACTTCAGCAAAGTCTCAGGATACAAAATCAATGTGCAAAAATCACAAGCATTCCTATACACCAAAAATAGACAAGCAGAGAGCCAAATTATGAGTGAACACCCATTCAGAATTGCTACAAAGAGAATAAAATACCTAGGAATACAACTTATAAGAGACATAAAGGACCTCTTCAAGGAGAACTACAAACCTCTTAAGGAAATAAGAAAGGAAACAAACAAATAGAAAAAAAATCCATGCTCATGGATAGGAAGAATAAATATCGTGAAAATGGCCATACTGCCCAAAGTAATTTATAGATTCAATGCCATTCCCATCAAGCTACCATTGACTTTCTTCATAGAATTAGAAAAAAACTACTTTAAATTTCCTATGGAACCAAAAAAGAGTCCATATAGCCAAGACAATTCTAAGCAAAAAGAACAAAGCCGGAGGCATCACATTACCTGACTACAAAGTGTACTACAAGACTACAGTAATCAAAACAGCATGGTACCAGTACCAAAACAGATATATAGACCAATGGAACAGAATGGAGGCCTTGGCCATGCACAGTGGCTCATGCCTGTAATCCCAGCACTTTGGGAGGCCAAGGCGGGCAGATCACAGGTAAGGAGTTCAAGACCAGCCTGACCAACATGGTGAAACCCCATCTCTACTAAAAATACAAAAATTAGCCAGGCGTGGTGGTGCGTGCCTGTAATCCCAGCTACTCAGGAAGCTGAGGCAGGAGAATTGCTTGAACCAGGGAGGCAGAGGTTGCAGTGAGCCGAGATCGTGCCACTGCACTCCAGCCTGGGTGACACGGCAAGATCTCGTCTCAAAGAAAAAAAAAAAAAAAAAAAAACAGAACGGAGACCTCAGAAATAATACCACACATCTATAACCATCTGATCTTCAGCAAACCTGACAAAAACAAGCAACTGGGAAAGGATTTCCTATTTAATTAATGGTGCCAGGAAAACTGGCTAGCCATAAACAGAAAGCAAAAACTGGACCCCTTCCTTACACCTTATACAAAAATTAACTCAAGATGGATTAAAGACTTAAATGTAAAACCTAAAACCATAAAAACCCTAGAAGAAAATCTATGCAATACCATTCAGGACATAGGCATGGGCAAAGACTTCATGACTAAAACACCAAAAGCAATTGCCACAAAAGCCAAAATTGACAAATGGGATCTAATTAAACTAAAGAGCTTCTGCACACCAAAAGAAACTATCATCAGAGTGAACAAGCAACTGACAGAATGGGAGAAAAATTTTGCAATCTATCCATCTGACAAAGGTCTAATATTCAGAATCTACAAGGAACTTAAACAAATTTACAAGAAAAAAATAACCCCATCAAAAAGTGGGCGAAGGTTGTTAACAGATGCTTCTCAAAAGAAGACATTTATGCAGCCAACAAACATATGAAAAAAACCTTATCATCACTGGTCATTAGAGAAATGCAAATCAAAACCACAATGGATACCATCTCATGCCAGTTAGAATGATGATCATTAAAAACTCAGGAAGAAACCAATGCTGATGAGGCTATGGAGAAATAGGAATGCTTTTACACTCTTGGTGGGAGTGTGAATTAGTTCAACCACTGTGGAAGACAGTGTGGCGATTCCTCAAGGATCTAGAACCAGAAATACCATTTGACCCAGCAATCCCATTATTGGGTATATACCCAAAGGAGTATAAATCATTCTACTATAAAGACACATCCACACGTATGTTTATTGAAGCACTATTTACAAGACTTAGAGCCAACCCAAATGCCCATAAATGATAGACTGAATAAAGAAAATGTGGCACACATACACCATGGAATACATAAAAAAGAATGAGTTTATGTCCTTTGCAGGGACATGGATGAAGCTGGAAGCCATCATTCTCAGCTAAAAAGCACAGGAACAGAAAACCAAACACCGCATGTTCTCACTCATAAGTTGGAGTTGAACAGTGAGAACAGATGGACACAGGGAGGGGAACAACACACACTGGGGCCTATTCGGGGGTTGGGGGCAATGGGAGGGAGAGCATTAGGACAAATACCTAATGCATGTGGGGCTTAAAACCTAGATAATGGGTTGATAGGTGCAGCAAATCACCATGGCACATGTATACCTATGTGACAAAACTGCACGTTCTGCACATGTATCCCACAACTTAAAGTAAACTTTAAAAAAGATAACTCAAAAATCAATCAATTTAATATGCTGTATTTTGTAGAATAAATGACAAAAACCATATGATCATCTCTAAAGACACAAACAAAAATATTAGACAAAATCCAACACTCTTCTGATGAAAAAAAAACAGTGAGAAAATTACAAATAAAATGAAATTTCCTCAACCTGATAAAATTCATCTATTAAACCCCACAGCTAACATTACACATAATGGCAAAAGACTGGATGCTCCCCCTTAAGATCAAGTACAGTCCAAAGATGTCTGATTTCATTACTTATATTCAACATTGTATTGGAGTTCTAGCCAAGGAATTTAGGTGAGAAAAAGAAACTAAACTCATCCAGATTAGAAAGGAAGAAGTAAACCTATCCCCTTAATGGATGACATGACACTGTATATAGAAAATTCTAAGAAATCCACAAAAAGGAAACTGTTAGAACGAATGAACATGTTCAGCAAGGTTTCAGGTTACAAAATCAGTATACAAAAGTCAATTGCATTTCTATATACTATCAATGAAAAATATAAAATTGAAATTTAAAAAATTCCATTCATAATAGCAGCAAAACAACTAATATTCTCAGGAGTAAATATAACAAAGAACTATAGGACGGGAATGCTGAAAAATCCAGAACACTGTTAAAAAGTAAAGAAGACCTGAAAGAATGGAAAAACAGTCTACATTCATGGATCAGAAGACTTAAGACTTAGTATTTTTTTGTTTATTTTTTGGTTTTTGTTTTTGAGACGGAATCTCACCCTGTTGCCCAGGCTGGAGTGCAATGGCGCAATCTTGGCTCACTGCAACCTCCGCCTCCCGGGTTCAAATAATTCTCCTGCCTCAGCCTCCTGAGTAGCTGGGATTACAGGCACACACCACCATGCCTAGTTTTTTATTGTTATTTTTTTTTAGTAGAAACGGGGTTTTACCATGTTAGCCAGGCTGGTCTCGAACTCCTGACCTCGTGATCCACCCGCCTCGGCCTCCCAAAGTGCTGGGATTACAGGCGTGAGCCACTGCGCCCGGCCAGAAGACTTAATATTGTTAAGATGACAGTATTCTCTAAGCTGATTTACAGCTTTGATGCAATAGGCATAAAAATCCCAGTTCCCTCTTTTGCAGATAGTGACAGTTTATCCTAAAATTCACATGGAAATGTAAGGAACACAGAAGAGCCAAAAATCCTGAGAAAGAAGACCAAAGTTGAAGAGACACATGCTTCCTGATTTCAAAACTTACTACAATGCTAGTAATCAAGACAATTGGTACTGGCATAATGATGTAATCACAGGACCAGTTCTAACTGGCCCTACTCTGTTGATAATAGTATGTCAAGTTATTATACAGGCACAAAGCCAAAAAGTTGTAAGTCATGCAGCTGAAGAATGCAGAAAAGAAGACGTCAACCTTGAATAAATAACACCCAGAAGAAAAATTCCTCTCCTCCCCACCACAGAAGCAAATGGTCAAGACATGACTGGAACCTGAGGGCCCAAACATTTTTAAAAGCAAGAAACCTGAGCCCAAGCATGTCCAGTGTTAAGACCCCTTACCAAACCTTACCATAAATGGTCTTGTTTAAAGTCCTTCCAATCGAAACCTGCCCCACCAGTGCTTCTGCATACTAGCTTACCCTCCCTAACCCGTAAAACTTGTCCCAGATCCCAGATAGGGAGACAGATTTGAACTTTGCCTCCTAATTCCTTGCAAGCCAACCTCACGATAAAGGTTTTGCTTTTCTCAAAAACCAGTTCCATAATATTGGCTTCTCTATCTGTCAGGCAGCAAGCACATTGTTCAGTAACAATGACAGAAATATAGATCAATGGAATAAAGAGTCCAGAAATAAAGTCTTAGAGTTATCATCAATTAATTTTAGACAAGAGTGCCAAGGCCATTCAATGGGGAAAAAAAATCACTTTTCAACAAATGGTGCAGGGACAACGAGATATGCACATGCA